AAACCATGGGCTAGATGATTTTAGATGAACTCAAAGTTGGCTGGATGACCACACCCAAAGAATGCTCATTAAGGGTTTTACTTCAGCTTGGAGGGAATTATCAAGTAGAATGCCACAAGGCTATGTCCTGGGCTCTGTGCAATTTGACATTTTTATCAATAGCTTAGATAAAGAAGTAGAATGTACACTTAAAAGTTTGCAGATAACTCAAAACTGGAAGGGGGGAATAATACTTATATGAAATAAAATTCAGAACGATATAGACAGGATTGTGCAATGGGTTGAAATCAGTAGGATAGAATTTAACAGGGAGAAATGTAAAGTTATATTTGAACAGGAACACTATAAGACACAAGTATAGGATGTGGGAGATTGGCTTGGCAGGAATCCATATGAAAGTGATGTGGGTATCTTTGTTCACCACAAGTTAAGAGCTAGCAGTGTAATGCAACTGCTAAAAAGACAGATGCTATCTTGGGGTACATTTACAAGAGCATAAAGCAACTGTGGGGAAGTAATTGTTCCACTCTGCTCTGGCCAGATCCCATTTGTATCCAATTCTGAACACCACATTTCAAAAAGATACTAAGAAATTGAAGCAAGTTCAGAGGAATGCTACTGAGATGGTGAAAACTCTGGAACCAAGGTCTACAAGGAATGGGTAAAGGATCTAGGTGTATTTAGCCTATAGAAAATATAGTGGGGAGGTAGGATAGTAGTCTTCAAGTATCTGAAGGATTCTCACACAGATGAGTGAGGGACGACTTATCTCTTGCCCTAAACAGCAGGACCAGAAGAAGTGGGTTAGAAACTTTCAAACAGAGGTGATCTGTTCTAGACATTCTACTAAACCCTGCACTGAGCAGAGGGTTCAACTAGATGATGTCTAAAATCCCTTCCAATTATGATTTTAATCTTTGAAAACCCTTACTGCATATCAGGTCTCTGTTTAGCAACCATGGAATCAATACCACGAATCATAAGGCCATAAATAATGAGGCCCGCATAGTAAATAAATATGTGAATTGTTGAATGTCAAAGGATGTAGGGGAGATCTTTATCAAAATGCATATGAGAACAAAACCTGAAACAAGATATCTTTGAACTGCTGGTAAAGGAATCCAGGAAAAAAACTTCCTCAAATTTAGGGAAAATAAAAATACGATCCTTTTATTTTGTAAGCCATTTATGATTGTTATGGTTAATTGCAATAATAAAAATGAATGAATGAATGAATGAATGAATGAATGAATGAATGAATGTAGCCTTTCTTAAAATAAACCATTCTTGGGTCCATATGCTATCTTTCATGTGGCATAAGAATATAAAATATAAAATATAAGCCTAAATTATTAGATAACATTATGCTTTATAAGTTGATTCTTCTATAAACTTTTTAATAATGATATTAGAATGCAGATGATACTTATGTTGATGCATTAAATAAACAATGAATTAAAATATTAACTTTATCAGAATTTTTATTTTCAAATTTTACCAAATATTGACATTTGTTATTTTTTAACTTATTTTTAGTTGTCTAAAATATTTACATTATAGCTTTCTGTTGCCAAAATAGTCAAACAATCAATTCCTTAATTAAATTTTGGAATTCAAACCCTGATATGTGTATGTGTGTTTGTGTCTATCAATATATGTTTTTAGAAGCTTAATATATGAAATGGAAGTACCTGTAATTACTGAAATATTTTTGTACTACTTTTTAAATATTAAATCATTATCTGGTAGACCTTGTACCATAACTGAAAGCAATTATACTGAGCACCCAGTGGGTTGTAAATATGTATAATGCCCAGGATGCCTAAAGCCATCCACATATTTAGAAAGTAAGAGATTTTCCTGTTTACCTGTGCTATTAATTTATGTATATTATTTATATGGTCACCCAGCTAACACAGGTGACTCCAGGTGGCGTACAAGGATTAAAAGCATTAAAACCACAACATGTTAGTATTGTTGAGGAGGGAATTGTAGGGGATTCAATTATATTGAACATTCAAAAATAAATTGTATTAAAGATCCTGCCTACCCACTTTCAATAATTCTTTTTTAGGTTGTTTATTAATTTTCTTACTGCAGTTGTAGCTATAGAGTTTAAAACAGTATGCATAAATGTCCCTCCCCCATTTTATTCTCACAAAAACTCTGAGAAGTAGGTTATCTGAGGCATAGTGACCAGGCTGAAATCACTCACTGAGCTTTATGGATATGCAGGAAGTTAAGTCTGAGTCTCCTCTCTCATAGTGTATAGGCATCCAAAATAGAGTGTTTCCTGATTAGCTCAAGAAGCAATTACATATGGAAAAAATACTTCTGGGGGGGCTATTTCCTTTCTGTTATCTTGGCTTATGACAACGCCAGCCCAATCTCATGAAAGTTTGTTTACCCAAGAATAATTTTCAAGGGATCTTTTTGGATATAAGGTATTAGTTTAAATTATCAGAATGGGAAATTCTAGGCTGTAGCAAGATTATTAATCAGGATGATGAACCCTGGTTGTAATAAACATTACAACAGATTACCCTATTTTGAAATTGATGAGAAATTTTAGTTTAAATTAGAAAGGGAGGGAGTGTGATGTGGCCAGGGTCATTACCTCCAAAGTGGGCTGCTATGTTGAATCACAGTTCAGGAAAGAAATCTATGAATAGAATTGCAGACTTAAAAGTATTACTTTAATAAAGGAATAAGAAGTCATTTAAACAAAAACAACTTAGTGAATGTCAAATTTGTTTTCTAACATCAAAATGTTATAATCTTTAAAATCAAATCCTTGGATAAGTCATTTTATATAGAATAATTTTTGTCCTGAAATGTCACTTTTGTTTCAATTTTAAATATAGAATTTGAAAAGGCTGGTAAGAAAAGAACTGTTAGTTGAATTAACATTGGAACACAACCTTTGAAATATATGCATACAACTTCCAACAAGATATTTGAGATTCTCTGTAACTGTCATTCAGCTTTCAAGCTTTGGATACTTGTTTTGAGGCTGTATAATTGATCTGAAATGCTAGGTTATTTAATAAGCATCAGCATGCTTTTTAATTAATCAGTTTCTAGTGCTTTGGGCATATGATCTGTTCTGTATGACATGCTCACAGATCATTGCTGCCACTAAGCACATTAGAACTAAAAATGTAAATTCAGTGTAATGGATTATTTTTCTCTATACAAATACAAGTTTTTGCTAGCATTTGTAAGAATCCTAAAGTTGCATCTTATATACAGTTTTTGTCTAGTAAGTAGGAACTAGTCAGTTGTAATGGATTGCCTCTTTAGAAGCTTTTTTAATGTTGATTTTATAACTATCTGTCAGAAACACTTCATGCTCATAATGAGTTAACAGAGACTGCTCTAAGAATAGAGTAACAGATGAAAGTAGTTAGGGGTTTGGAATTGTTTGTTTCCCTACATTGTTACTCAGCAATGCCAGTATACTAGCTTCCTTGTGGCTTTTAGTGGAAAATGTTAAAAGTCTCAACAGAATTTTTAAGTTAGAACTGAATTAGTCATACACAACTGGCATGGATACTCTGTGAGAGCTGCCCAAAAGCTCTTTCCTCCCCCTGCACAGGAAGTTGCATCCAGAGCAGTAGCTCAGTTCTTTGGTAAATGTAACATGTGAGCATTACTAGGCATTTCATACTGCGGGTCTGCAGTCTGTGCTATTTAGACGATCGCTTGATTGGAATACTGCTGTGGGTGCGATTTTGTGTCCTGTTAGTGTGTTTTGTAATGATCTTTTTAAGGCACTATATCTGCAATAACATCTACTGCATCAAAAACCATAAATTAACGCAACCTTTGGATTGAGAATTTAACCTGAAGCAACCTCCAAGCTGGCATCGACACAGATCTTCGAATAAAGAAGTTGGCTGAAAGATTACGTGTAGGACCTGATTTTTTTCCCTTTACCTCCCCCCTCTTTTTCTTTTTACTTTGGTCTGAATGAAGCTATAAGAGGAGGTCTATTCACACAGTGATGAAAGGAAGCATTGGAGTGATGAACTACTTCTGCAAGAAAAGTCTAAAGCAATAATTCAAGTGCTTATGCTTTACAGTAGTATTTTCCTGAAGCGCTTGTCCTTACCATTTTTTATGCCTTGTGTGTCCCTTGGAGCAGCTAGAGCAACGGTCTGATGGTTAACAACAAATGTACTGCATTGCTTTCTGTCTGATGGAGTGAAGCATTTTTTGTTACTGTATATTGGAGAATCTGGATTGAACAAACAGTATTATCATTATTATTATTTGAATCTCATTGTCCTTTATCATCTGAGTCATCACATGTAAATGTACTGCAGCTTAGCTGTACATTGCAGGAATTTTTAAATGAAGAAATATTAACCTTGAATATCTAGTTTTGAATAACTACAGAGAAATAAAATGGTTTTTTTCTGTGGTGAATTTCAGATATGAAGGCTAATAAGTATGTTAATTAAAATGAATTATGAATGGGAACACTTGGGCAGTCATGTGTGCCTTTTTTGGTAGAAAACTGACTACTATTAACTGGAGACTGACCTTGCTGGACTGGGGAGAGCTGTGATCATCTCTGCCAGAGCATTTGTCTCATTCTGTACAGAATGGTGTTATGTTGTCTGTAACAATGATCATACTGTTTAGAGAAAACTGTTCTGTAGAAATTAAACAAAAGCAACATTTGATATAAGATATATAATATATATACTGTTGTAATTTATATTTTAATATTGAGTGAATGAAGAAGAATTTAATAATTCAGTAATAGCAGATTTTTTATTTGTAAAATATTTCTGGAAAACTTTGTTAGATGAATACCTCTTGTTATTGAATTTGGCAAATAGTATACATATTAGTTGCATGAGTTAAACATTTCAAAACATGGGAGTAGTTTTTGTAACTTACGTGTAGAGGAAAAGAACTTTATGTGCTGTCTCTGCTATCACTGCAACAAGGCTATTGCAAATTTAAGTTGCTGGTTTTTTAACGATCGAATGAGTCGAGTGTGTATTGTTGTTTTGGAGGAGGTAGAAGATGATTCTCCCACATTTATTTCCAAACTGCCTCAGGAAAGCATATCTCCACATCCTTCTGCTTCAGGATTTGGCATGGTAAGAGGCTTCTCTTGCATGTGCCTTATTTATAATTTTGGTCCAAATTTTAAATGTGACTTGATATAAATATTTTTGCATATAAAAATATAATTGGTATTCATTTGTCTAAATATGGAAGCTAGTAAAAATTCAGTATAAACTAATTTCAGTTTTATGGAAATATGCATTTTCTGATATTCTAAGGACTATTGTGGCCATTTTGTTTAGAAATAAAAAGAAAGGTGAAATAACTGAATGGTCAGTATCTTCTGCTAGTTTAACGGATTCTAATTGGCTGTTAATTCTTTTGAGAATTCATATGGTATGCTCTGTTCTTAAACATGTTCTTAAACATGCACACATATATCGTGATTTTAAACTACTCAATCTTGAAATAGCAGGGTGATGTTCTATTAATATCTAAATTGATTCATTATCATGTGGCATGTGTGGTAGTGCTTTCACAAGTTTTGTGATGATGATAAAACATGTAGATATTTTTAGAAATATGATTGGCATCAGATAATTTAGGTATTCTGCACTTCCTTGCTTATCACAGTAAACTACATAAACTTTCCTACATTTTCTCTTTGTAAGCGAATGTGTTACTGGATTTTTTTAAAAAAGTAATCTGCTAAGGATACTTTTTTCGGGGGCTATATGCAATATTTCCCATAATAGAATACATTATTTTTTATTTTGTTTTGAAAATGGCACAGTCGTTTAAGAAGAATATCTTTTAAAGATGCTTTTTATAATTTTCTAAGATAGCGCTTCTGATATGAAATGTTTTGGTTATTCATGGTTTAATATATCATATATTGTAATCACATTTGAATAGCAGCAGCCTTAAAATTAAAATACATCACTGTTGTTTATATTTCAGCCACCACTTATCCAAGCTATATTTAACGGGGATCCTGATGAAGTTCGTGCACTAATTTTTAAAAAAGAAGATGTCAACTTTCAGGTAAGCAGATTTGTTTTCTCTTTATTTATATTGCTTTCTCCTTTTTGAGATACAATTTAATCTTTGTAACTTCAATTCAGGGGGGTAAAACTAATCCTGTTACTACTTTCTCTGACAGATTTTAGCTATTTTTTTTTAGTGTACTAATCTTAAACAGGTCCCTAACACTTTTTAAATGTACATTTAAAAATTTAATTATCATAAACAAATTAAATTGCAAAAGAAAATTGCTACCACAAATAAGTCTTTTTTATCCTGTACTATTAATTAGTCTGCACCCAGTTATAGAATTGATTTGTATTTATTCGCCATGTTGATATTCCACTGTCAAAGCATCTCTGAATTGTTCTTTTGGCAATTCTATAGAGCTGGAGGTCATCTTCTTTCCATGAATGCAAAAAAGCTTCCCAATATTGTAGAATCACCTTAATACCACTGTGAGGAAGTTTTCATTTGTCATTGGTTTTCATGGATGTTAGTGCAAGAAAAATTTTCAGTAGAATCTTGTAGTGTGGCATGCTCCTTTTCAGTGTTCTATTGGAAATATTCTTTAAGATTAAAGTTTGTATTTGCCCCAAGTACTTAAAAATAAATATTTATTTTTATAGCAGAGTAATTCAATTAAAATTATTAAGTTTGACTTAACAGTTTCCTTTTGTCTTTTCTAAAATTTTTGGAGAAGCCTAAAAGATTTTTGTAGCCTTTGGGAGCTCGCTGGGTCTGAGCACTGCCTGTTGTCCATATTATATAGTCTAACCCTCTTCCAGCGTATTCCATTCCTTCTTCCCTCCCCTGTCCCACATACATATTAGACTGTTTTGGATTTTTGCTACTATTTTTGCCATTTGGCTACATAAAAATAGGGACTTGAAGGATGGGTTTATAGTTAGTATAAATGGCAATATTATTGTTATATATATATGCAGTAATATATGTATTTTCTCTGTACATTCGTTTGGAAATGGTGTGCTTATGATTGTAGCTTTGGTCATTCAGTTATTTTGACAGTGTTAATTATTTGGTGTTTTGATGTTCATCTGGCTGACTACTTTTTAAAATTAAATACTGGCATAGGTTGATCATTGGTCTGATTTGGTAAGGACTATAATAATTTGCATTTTAAAATAGTTAATATCTGTACGTATGCATCTCGGATCAAAAGTAAACTTTGAATTTAATGAAGCGTACTATTAACATGATTGTAATTCATGTTAATATAATAAACATGATTTAGATTCTATCCTTAGTCTGTCAGTATATGAGAAGAATATGTTTTATGTATTTATCAGAAACAGCAAGGAGAGTCAGCTGTTTCTTTGGTGGTATTTGATTAATTGATTATGTAGCATTAAGTTGGTGTCAGCTCTTAGTGACCACATAGATAGATTTTCTCTATGATGATTTGTTCCTAACTTGGTCTTTCGCTAAAGGAACCATTTGGCGAAATTAGGTGATAAGGAATTTCCTAAATAAATGTAGGAAACATTCATTTAGTTGATTTGTATGTTATGAAGAAAATATTTGAAGGTATTCCATAACACTGAATCTTTTCATAACCAGATTGACAACATTGGTCTGTATTTTTAACTTTCTGAATGATTTTATGATTTTTACTACTTTTACAAATAAAACAAAAATACATTATTTGAATATCTTTTTTTTCATAGTGAATGTTAGCTGTTGAAATATAGCAAGCTGAAGTCCAACAGCTTTAAAACAAGCCTCTTCATTAGAAATTGTAAATGTCAAATACAAGAAAATTAGTATAGCATACACTGTTACATTGTTGTGTTGTATAACTAAAACAAAAAAAAATGCATATACTCTCCATGAAGATAAATACAATTTTATTATGGGCACAGACAAAAATGCAAGAAGAAATCTTAATGGTACAGGTAGTCCTTGTTTAGTGACCAGAATTTCGACCAGCAACAGTCGTTAAGCAAAGCAGTCGCTAAGTGAAACCATGACTGTGCTTATTATCTTACTTCAGCTTTCCTTTCCTTTGCTTTACAGACCTGTGAAGGTTATAAATGTGAGGATTGGTCATAAAGTTACTTTTCCATCACCATTGTAACTGCAAACAGTCACTAAATGAGGACTATCTGTATCTGTATATTACAAGAAAATGTATTGTAAAAGGCAGTCTGAGTAGAAGATTTAATACCTGATTAAGTACAATTGATTTCCTGGTGATGTAGCAAAATTAGCAATTTGAAATGTGATATTGACATCTTCATTATCAAAAGGATACAGAATTCATGGGACATTAAGGAATCTTCCTAATCAGAGACAATATTTGGTTGTCACAATTATCCTTAAAATGTGTAGTAAAACCAATATTAACAAATTTTAAACGAGCCCCCCAGCCATAAAGACAAGTTCTGTTACTGTAGAAGATGCTTCTGCATCAATGTTCTAGTACTTCTCAAGGAGGAATATTTAATAAGACAAGTATACATTCTCTTTGGTATTTAG